GAAACAAATTCCGGTCCAAAAACAAAAACCATGAATATATTTAAGGATAAGAAGGGGGTATGGTTTTTTTGGAAGTGGGCCCAAAAAAAAAAAAAAAAAAAAAAAAAAAAAAAAAAAAAAACCAATAGAAAGAAAAAATAATGAGTAAAGAAAGTAGCAAGGCGCGGAAAAAAAAAAAAAAAAAAACGAATAGAATAAGAAAAAGAAGAGGGCTAAACGAATGTCGAGAAACGAGAGTGGGTAAAATGAACGAGAGTCGAAGCGATGCCGAAGCACCGATATAATGATAAAAACAAGTAATTAACAATGTAGAGACAGGTGGATGATAGAAGAAGATGAAGAAGAAGAGAAGGCGGAGAGAGGATGGGGCATGAAGAGACGAACGAGCGAGAAGAGGAGGGAGAGGAAGAGGAAGATGAAGTTGGAGATGAGCAGGCGAGAACGAAAAGGAGAAGAAGAACAAGCGGCGAGTGTGGTATTATTGGCCGTATTCCTGGTATTGAGGTAATACTGACGTATCATGTACTGTACTGTATATACGAATACAGATCCCCCTTTGCCGCACCTCAGCTCGGCAGTTGTGAGGTGATTTCTGGCCAATCCATCCTTTGATTCTTCTGGATGCGGTTGACTATTTATTCAGAAACAGTATCAATTACTTTCAAGCACCTGCCCTGGCTGTTCATGCGCAGAAGATATTGTAATCCTTCAATTCTGATGCCCCTAGTAAATTTAAGTGTTCAGTCCGTCTGGGTATGGATGACAATACCCATTCTGCCAAGTAACTACCATTGGAACTTCCTGGTTGGATTGAGCAGCGATAGTCACTTAAACAGCTCACTTAAGATTCACAATTGAATATCTGTACAAAATATTTGATGTCATTGATGGAGTGCTAACTTCTTCATTCCTGAGCAGTAACCTCCACCCTCAATTTGCCTACATATCACCATACCTTACTGGCCAGCGCCTCAGGGGAAGAAGCCAATAAACAGGGTCAAACTCCCTGTCAGCCGCGATGGTGCCTGGCTTATACCTAGTTAATAGTTAGTTACAACCTAGCGTTGTTCTTTTTATATTTCAACATTTCTCATTTATACGGCGCGCTTTTCATACGAGTTTACATACTCCGTACATACTCCGTACATACGAAGTTCCATCCCGCCGACCTGAGGCTTCAATGTTTTTTATATGCCCCCTTTGTGGGCCTGACTTATTTCTTTACCATCATTCTACATCTTCGACAAAGAATATCCACCGCTTGCAGCTGGGGAATAATACAACCTATCAAATGCGATATCCAGTGCGCTATCTCTCCTAGCGCGGTGGTTCCCAGGCAAGCAGGCCCTGTTTCAGTGTCTGGTGTACCACTCCTAATAATCATCACACTCCGGCATCAAGATATTTATATCCCTGAGTGGATCCGCTCGAAGGGCCCGAGTTTCGATTGAGATGTTTTGTAAAAAGAGCAAAGGGGCCCCTCGTTCATTAAAGAGCAAATCCAGAGCGTGCTAAAAAAGCTCCCTTGAGAATGGCACCGCCATCAAAAATTTCATGCAACATCATTCAAATCAAATACCTTTAAAATTAACCTTCCCCCCCCCAAAAACTCACTTGCAGCAATTCATACATATGCAGGCGCTGATGGCGGCTGTGTGACAGACTGTGACCTAGAACGTCTCCCTTGTCTTTTCCTCCGTCCTAGATTCCTAGTTTCTGGGGTGTTACGGATTAATATATGCGTTGAACGCAGCAGCAGCGTATGCCAGAGCGGGCGACCGTGCATAGGATGCCTATGGGTTTCCTGTCCACATGGGAATGTGCTCGGACTGCATGTGCATGCTATCTATGTATGTGATGTGTCAAAGGCAAATCTGCAAACATGATATTCACCCGCCCGATCACCATGCCATGAAAAGAGGTTTCACGTTCTGCATCATGGGTCCCTTAACAGAAAATCCTCTCCAATATGGTCGGTGGCGGGCTTCTCTCTAGCTATTTCAAAAAAAATACTTGTCTAATAGTAAGGAGAGGAAGCAAAGAGTCGAAGGGCCACTCAATGCGTGACTGACTGGCTGGCCCTTGACCTGGAGCAATACCTATAGAAGCCCAACCCTGTCAGATACCACAGGATATCACGAGCAGAATATCAGAATGTCGAACATACCTAGGCAGATATAAACAATATTCAAAACATCTCATGACTGCTCTACCCTTTCTGCCCCTTACATCACACTTCCACAACATAACAAATCTCCTCTGCACCTGCGGTAACTACTCGAAACAGCGTGCCGAGAACGGATGGTTTGTGCAAGCGTCGTCTGTGCTGGTAATATCTCTACCCCCGCCATCAGCTTTTCTAACGAGAACGGCAAAATGCCCGTATCTACTCTGTAGCTCCGTTGGAAAGAAAGAGCTTCAATCAGCAGCTGCCCGCCAGGTTTACCTCTCGCCAAAATCTCATCTGCTCTTCTCGCTCCTCTATTTTAGTTTTTCTGGCTTGCGGGGAAATGGCATTCATGCATCTCTACTATATCCCTTCCTCATCGCGGAATGACATAAACGCGTATGATAGTAACCTCCTCCCTGTTATTTTCTTGTATCAGTCACTACGAATCAACATCGATCATCGAGAAAAATGTCGTTTACACCGTTTTTGTCGTGTGGATTGATCGCGATGCTGGCTGGTTGTTAGCTCCGCTACCGTACTTACTAGACAAGCGTTGCTCTCATGAAATTCTCGCTGGCATCAGTTGACTACCATGTATGTTTCTTTCGCATCACTACATACCTATACGCCACACAGGGGGGGGCTCTGTATCACAAATCCCTTCATAAAAGGGGGCAAAAATATCGATCGCAGTTGCAAACTCGTGAGAAAACTTGGACAACGCATATCCATAGCGTGGCCACCCGTTACATGAATTCTTTTTCGCAATGATGCTAGCCCATCGCATTTTAACAGATGATGGTATGTATGATAGACGGGAAAAAAGAGGGAAGAGCGTCAAAACAGTCTCGCTGTTGCCCATTACCCTGGGTTCTGGGTGGGTCTGTATTTATATATGAATGTGTGAGATCGGCTACATCCACATCTTCAAATTTGGGCATTCAGGGCGGGGACGCGGGTTTTTGGCTGTGTCTAGGATTGTAAGGCGATAATACCTAGACGCCTATTAATGATTGACATGCTTCTTTGAGAAACCCGTGACGTCAATATACGCATTCGCCCTACGAATCTTCGCTTGAGCAGTTTCTAACCATCCTCCCGTGGCCAGACGTTGCATCACTAAGTGGTCTGCAGTCTTGCGTACCTGACTTTGGCGAGTGATTGGATATGTATCAATTAGCCCAATCTTCCGATCTTTTCAATTCATGCATTCCCTTTCGTTGTCGTTTACCAGCCACGAGACAGCAGGGGCTATAGAGGCAGGGAGCTGCGGCGTGTGATGCGCAGTGCTAGATTGACAAAGAGAGATCAGATGTTTTCCGCGAGCAGATGGGTCCCAGTCAAACGTATCGGCTGGTAAAACGGCTTTCATCGATAGGGATTGATTGCACACACATATGTGTCTATCTATCTATGCGGTGTGAATTTGAGGAATGGATGCGAAAGAAAGCAAACAAAGGCAGGCAAGTAGGACCCTGCACCCTGAAAAACGGGTGAGACGACACTAATTGGACGTTTTATTCTGATGCTCCTTTCTCGTCCTCACCCTGGCATCACCATCTCAACGGATTGATATGATTCCACATCCAGTAGAAGGACATCGGCGTAGACCGAAATTGTTCTCAGTCAGATTAATCTATGCTTTAAAATCCTTCATTTTCTAGTCTGCTGTCTCAGGTTTCATTTCAGCAGTAAGTAAATTGATATGTTCAGAGAGCAGAGCTGCCTTCTCAATATTCTGAATCATGAAACATATTCAAGATTTGAATAAAATTTCAATCTTCTTTTTCTCTGTCAGCTTCTGTTAATTAATTAGAGAATAAAAGTATTATCAAAATTCATTATCTTTTAATAAAAAGTTTATCAATTTTGACTTTTTCATCTTCTATTTTAACACTCTTTCAATTTTCTTTTATTATTATTTATTTACAGTAACACTTTTCTTCTCTCTTTTTTTATTCTACTCTTTTACAGAGTCTTTTTCAAGTATTATAATGTGTTTTACAATCTGTTTTTATATTATAAAGATAAGTTGTTTTTATTTCTTTTTTCTCTCTTTTCTTTTCTTCAAATCATTACTAATTTCAAGCTAATATGAAAAGTATTAAAACACTCTTAGAAATTCTCAAATTGAAGAGTATAAATTAATTAAATTTTTAACAAATGTAGAAGAAATCAAATTATTTTTTATTATATTAATTACTTACTTTTTCTTATAAAACAGCAGTTATATCTCTCTTCTTTTTTAATTAAATATAGTCTGAGAAAAGCAATTGCTGTGTTAGATTATAATACTCAATACACTCTCAGTATACAGAGCTGTATATATACAGTGTCTGATGAATTAATAAGTTATATAAGTTATATATCAGTGATAACATCTCAATGAGAACTGTGTAGTGTAAGAAAGCTGCAATTCTCAGCTATATATATAAAAAGTAAATCACTGAAGTAAGTGTATATATATTGTATAAAAATAACACTTTTTAATACAAAAAATGAGAATTTGAATAGATTAGATGCAGGCATTGCTTATACTGAAGATAATATTAATTTTATCTCAGATTTCTGGAATTTAGGCTGTGAATCTGAAGTCTTTGATACTGAATTATTTGTAATAGTGAAAGCTTTCAAACTTATTGAAATAAAATCTCATAAAAGAGAAAATAGTTTGAAAGAGACATGAATATTCTCTGATAGTCAAGCTGCTTTAAAAAGACTTAGAAATAGTCAGATTTATAATGATCAAATGAATCTTGAACTGATCTTAAACTCCATTTTAAAAATTCAAAAGAGAAGAACATCAAAGCTGATAATTCATCTGCACTGAGTTTCTGCTCATATGAATATTCATGGTAATGAATTGACTGATTCAGCTGTAAAAAAAGGTTCAGAATTAAGCAGATCTGTTCAAGAAATTATGTCCTGATCTTTTATAAAGAGAAAAATAAAAGAATCTTGTTTAGACAAGTAAAATGAAAGCTGGCAGAAACAAAAGAAGAGTATACATTATTCAAGATTTGAAACAAAACCCAAGTGAAAATCTTGTTCAATTAAATGTAAAAAGAAAATATTCTCATCTATAATACAGCTAAAATTAGAATATGACTATTTTAAATCTTATATACAAAGATTTGATGATAGATTTGATTCAATAGAATGCTCATTCTGTAATACAAATGAGAATTCTGAGTATATTATAATACACTGTGCATTATACAATAGTCTCAGAGTCAGATTGAAAGAGAAGTACAATCTAAATCAATTAAATATGAGATTCTTATTCTTAACTGAGACAGGAATTAAATACTTAATAGACTTTCTATCAGAAACTCAAGCAGCTACAAGAAAATGACTGAATTCAGAAATATCTGAATATGAAGAGGAGGAAATTGATCAGATATAGTCTGTTAAACTAGCTATATACTATCTTTTAATAATTTGTTTCATTACAGTCTCTTATTATTTTACTTTACCTTTTTCTTTCTATTCTTTTCTATCTATCTATTTAATGTGTCTATCTTTAAGACTGTGTTCTCTTTTCTTTTGTCATGTTAAATGGTTTCAAAGTATCAGAAGATGTTAAAATAATGCAATTTGTAAACAGTTCTTGTATTCTGAGCTGGAATTTTCTGATTTTGCATATCTGAAATTGATGAATGTATAATAGTTAACTGTATAGATATAGGAAAAACCCTAAGAACTTTTAGTTCTCAGATAGATGTCATAGTCTCTGACTGCATACATCTATAATTGAAGAATAATAATAATAATAATAACACTTTTTAATAACACTTAGTTTCTGATATTATGAAAATAAAGTCTCTTTGTAAGATCTGTTTTTATCAGAAGTTAAGAAATTTTATATTTTTCAAAATCATTTTCACATGTTTTATTCATAAAATTAATGAAGAAAATTATTAATTTCAGTATTCTGTTTTTAATATAATTTAAGTGATAGCTGAGTTCACTCTGATCACACTTTTTAAGTGTATATTTTCAAATTATTCACATTTGTACAGATATATACTGATTATTTATTAAATAATATTAAAATAATAACTTATTACAGCTGTGTAGACTGACTGTGTAATTATATCTAAGATCAGAATCAGAATTTTTAATAGTCTTATTATTAATTTAACTGATTTCATTACATAGTTTTGATATTAAATAGTAGTTTCATACTGTCTTAGTAAGACTTACTGTCTACTCTTATTACATTTTTCAAATGAGATCATGATTTTCACTTCTCAATTTAAAATATTTTTATTGCTTTAAATGACTTTAAATCTCATTTGAGTATTATCAAAAAGTGTTACTTTTAAAAAATTAAAAATAAA